ACTGCGGCCTGTCTTGAATGCGCCCTAAACCCTAAACCCCTAAACCCCTAAACCCCTAAACCCCTAAACCCCTAAACCCCTAAACCCCTAAACCCTAAGCCCTAAACCCTAACACCCTCAACTTTAAAGCACTCAACCCCTAAACTCCAAAAACCGCTCAAACCCTAAACCCGATCGCCTGACATCGGGCCCGGGCTTCTCTCGTTATTAGGAAAGGTGGCTGCTCCTAGGCACTTAAAAATAGAATACCTCGTTGAGGGTTTAGGGTTGTAGGGTTTTGGGGTTTAGGGTTTCAGGGTTTTTGGTTTGAGGGTTTACGGGCAAAAAAACATAAACTGCTGGAAATAAGGGGGAAGATGAGGGATTCGGTGATTCGGAGCTAGCACCCTCGAAAGCACCTGCGACCACGGCATTAGGCGGCAGGGCATTGTGCTGGAGAGTGGAGACCTTGGCACCAGAATCCCTTGGCTAAACCCTAAACCCTGCACCCATGTCACCAGCTATTTTGGGGGGTCAGGGTAAAACCGACCAAAACAAAATAAAGCAAGAACAGAAACCCAAAAAGGGCAGGGGTGTTTAGGGTTTATAGGGTACAGTTCGGAAGAGATTCTGTAGATGCGCAGATAAAGCCGACAGCGAAGCTTGTGATTCCAACTGTGGAACTGGCTGCAGATGCACTGAGCCCGCACGCAACAAAACCCTAAAGCCCTAAACGCCTGAAGATTCCATACCTGCGCCGGAAAGAAAATGCAGCCACAGAGCGCTGAGCAACGCGCTTGCCCAGTCCTCACAACGGTCTATAGGGTCCCCAAAGCATGAACCATAAACCCTAAAGCTCCGGACCCCGAAGCCCCGTGCACGACTACCCGTTCAGCTCCACTTTACAAACCTACAAAGCCCAAAAGCGTAAGAAACATAGCAGCCCCCGAACCTAAACCCCAAAACCCCTGAAACCAAAATCCCTGATCAGGTTTAGGCTTTAGGGGTTCAGGGGTTTAGGGGAGAATATCCATTGAACCCTTAAGACCCAACCCAAAGTCCTGGCTCTTGGCGTAGGTGCTGGTGATCGCTCCAAAAGACACAGCAGAGGCCTCTCGGGGCTTGCCGAAAATCTTCATGCTTAGGGTTTAGGGTTTAGGGTTCAGGGTTCAGGGTTTAGGGTTTAGGGTTTAGGGTTTAGGTTTAACCAATCTTAACTAGGATCCTACAAGGCAACCTAGAACAGGTAACTACAATGGAGATTATAGGTAAGGTCTTAGCATCGGGGCCCTAATAATCAGGTTCCCTTTAGGGGTTTCTGTTACATAACGGCGTCGAGAACGGGATATGTTGATAAGGGTTCTAGGTTGTTTGAAGGTTCTATAAGGGCCCGTATAGGGTCCTTTTCCGGTTCTGGATTGAGTATAGGGTTTGAGGTGTCGGGTTTGGTGGTTTAGGGTTGGGGTTTGGGGCTTAGGGGTGCGTCCAGGCCGCCGAAGCCTAGTCTTGTCAATATGCGGGCTGATCCTGCAACACAAGGACTCTTCCGAGGGACCCATGAAACAGAAACACCTTATTGGCGAAACTGGCAGCAATCTCTGGTACAAAAGGCACATCGCAGGGATGCTACGCCCTAATAATACCCTAAACCCTAAACCCTAAACCCTAAACCCTAATAATACCCAAGCGCAGTATCGAAGTTGCACTGGGCCTCCAAGGCTTTGCAAAGGCAGCACAAGTCCACAAACTTACGCCCCTACGCAGAACCCCGAAATCCTGCGCCCCATCAATGCAAGAGCTGTGAAGCCGAAAAAAGCCCCAATAATCTTAAGAACCCCCAGCCCCAAACCCTAAACCCTAAACCCTTAAACCCTAAACCCTAAACCCTCAACCCTAAACCCTAAACCCGAAGCCTCCAGGCTTCTCAGACTGAGCTCTTGGAGCAGCTCCGATGTCTTCTGCCAGGGTGCGTCTCCAGCATAAGCCGTGTTGTAGCTGACGGTGTCCTGAAGGGGGTTTAGGGTTTAGGGGTTTAGGGGTTTAGGGGTTTAGGGGTTTAGGGTTTAGGGTTTAGGGGTTTAGGGTTTAGGGTTTAGGGTTTAGGTCTCCGCACCCTTCTTGTTGCGATTTTGTTTTGTAGTATCGCGACTTGAATAATTTGAATTGGGTTTGGGGAAACAGTATTGTACATTTATAGTAAGGAGCTCTACCGGCTGCTGCTGACCATTTCTTCAATCTTCTTTACGAATGCTGTTTCTTGAGGAGGGAAGTGCAGGTTAGGAGGGCTTCTATTGCAGGCAACTGGAGCTTGAGGATTCGGACGTAGGTTCAATTCGGAATCGTTCAAGAAGCTGAACAATGTAAGCCAACACAAGCAGCAACGGCACCTGCAACAAAATGACCAACATCACCTGCGGCTGCAGCAGCAACACTACTCTATTGCTCGACAGGATGCGGCAATGGCTGACGATGTCATCTTCGTCATCGAGGTGTGATGATGAATACAAAAAAGGCTTGAGATGAAAGTGGGGAGAAGTTAGCCAAATGTGATTTTGTTGGTGGTGATATGGTGACAAATATGATGGTGACGATGATGCAAATTCAACCGACGACCTGCCACAGGTGATGCTGACTGACTGTCGCAGTTCTGCTCGTGAAGGTCTTTCGGCTTTTGGCATAACAAGATCGTTGCCCACAGGGTGGCATAAGTATTAATGAGTGCAAGCCCTACAGTGCTCCCAGTGCGCCCAGAAGGAACCAGCGACAGGACTGCCAGGACTGGGCCTGCATGCTGCGTGAAAAGAGCGGGCAAAACTGTTGGCTTTACGCAGGTTTTGACTCTAAACCCGAAACCCTAAACCCAGCAACATACATGAGGCTTAGTGTGGCCGGTCTAAGGTCTTATAGGCTATCCAGAAGTTTGGCGAAGTATTGCAGGAGTTACACTGTTTCCCGGATTGCAGTGGTTCTCAAACCCACCCAGCTGAATAACCCAGAACTGCTAACATTTAGAGTTCGCGACTATCCTAGTATGCTCGCAATATTCTGCACTATGCAATGATGCTTTCGCTCAATCCAGATATTCAAGTGATGTTCGGAATTATTCGAACATGCGCTCTCCACGAGCTGGTTGCAAGTCGATGATGCGAGCCCACTGCCTGGCAACTATCTGAATAGCATCAGGCTTTCCAACAACAGCCCAGCAGTCAGGCTTGGCAATCAGGATGACCTCGGACGTCGGCAGAGCGTCTGCATTGTGAAAGTGTACCGTCTCCCACCAAATGCCGTCAAGCCAACCAACCGTATACACCATCGGCAGTCTCGAAAGCTCAGGCGGTAGATCATCCAGCACATGGGCGGCTACAACCTTGTTGGTCTGGGAGTTGAGGGTAACTACTCGCCCATGGTAAGTCTGTAGTTGCATTGAGAGCTCTGCATCTCGGAGAACGAAAAGCTGCCTGGCAGCAGCTCGCACTAAGGCCTCATTTGGCCCTTTCAGGTACAAAGAAGCGCTCGGCCACCATGGGTTATTTTCGTGACCACCGGGACCAGGAAACATGTCAGGAGGGTCGGTGACAATGATCAGGCCGCGGAACTGCTGCCTCGTGCGTTCAACTATACTGGAAAGCTGATGTGCAAACCTCTGAAAGCACAGAGCGGTCATCCGAAACTTGTACAGCTGCAGCACACGCTGCTCAAGCAATCTTTTTGACTCACGATACACGTTCAACAGCAGGTCTCCGACGCAATCGCCACCAAGATATTCCCAAACTAAGCGTCCCACGCATTGCGGCGGCTTCCTGCCAAATCTCTTGAACCAACCTGCCACCACGCTCACTAGTTTCAGCCTCTGGTGGAGCTGCCGTCCTTGAAGAAGACAAAATTGTGGCCCCATGCTGCTTGGCAACCACCACTGTTGGTGAAGCTGCAGTATGTTAGCCGCAGCCTTCATTTTGACACCTCTTTCGTGGCACAGCTTGAACAGCCCTTGCAAGGCCTGAAAGCCAGAGTCGGGATCAGATGCCACTATCCTTACATGCGGATCCCGGTAAGTGTCCATAGCCTGCTCCAAACCACGGCCCAGCTTCTTGTGAAGCGCCTTATGCCGGACATCTTGGGCAGCCCAGACACTGTAGCTGAATCTTTGTCGTCTTTTACCGTGCAGAACAATCTTCAGAAGCACAGATCGTCCTTTGAGCCTCTTGATCAGCTTCAGCAGCAGATAGTTCTGTTTTCGATCGAAGCCTGCAGGGAAAGGCACCGTGTACACCAGAGAGCGGAGCCTATGGCACGGCATCACAGGAGACCTGCTTATGTATCTTTCAAGATTTCCAGTCGCAGAATAGGCCGAAAGCCTGCCAAAGGCAAGCAAAGCGTCGGGAAAGCCAGCTAAGATAGAAGCCTGGATTAATACCCACACTGTTCACTCTTCCTGAGGATTCCTGGTCAACAGCAATACTACGTAGAATGTACTCCCCCCCAAGCCCTATGCCAATTTTTAAAGCCCCGATACAAGTATTTCTCCACATGCCAACATCGAGTCCTGCCTCAGAACAATATACAGCAAACTAGTGGGGGCACCGCCGCCAGGGAGGTCTAAAGAACCGCAGTCGCTACTCATCCTTGTCTCTTTGGAAGTATATAGGACGTCATATCCCGCACCCCAAAACCCCAGACCCCAACCCCCATGCAATCCTAAGCCAAGAGTCCAGGAGGAGTGCGGCACTTCGGAAGGAGCTTAGCAGCTCTCCAGCACCAACCTAGGCACAGGCATCGAACTTGCAACCTTTACCTGCAAGCCCGGTTCCGATCTAGGGGTCGCGGTAGAGCCGCTGGCGCCTGAAAACAGTAGGTTGCGAACCAATCATATAGTTCTGGGGTGTCACCCAGAACTGGTAGATTACCGGACCATATCGGTTCCTGTTGTGGGACTAAAAGGACTACAGATCAACGTAGGGTTCCATCATGTGGTCTACAAGTACATCATTCGGACTCAAGTTTGACTTCAAGCCCCCCTAAACCCTAAACCTCATGACCATAATAAGCCCCAACAGCTGGATCCTAAAGTATAAGCGAGTCAAAAATCCCTACCCCGCTGCAAAATATATCCCGGTACCATGTGCCTGCATTATTGTAGGGGTATACACTACTACCGTAGTGTCCCCATATCGAAAGCTCAACGAAGACCGCTGCGCATAACTATCCGTAATTACCATGGGCCCTAGGGTCGCCAAAGTCGTAAGCTCCCTTGGTGACGGAGGCTGCCTCGTGTCACGCCCGATTGGTAGTACTTGCTGCCAGCATCGTCCACGAAACTGCTTCGACAAAGGAACCCGAAGAAGCCCCAAACCCGAACCCCGAAACTTCAAAGCTGCGATGTGGGGGCCTTGATAATTAGAATAGGGTTTGGGGGTATACTATACTATAATTATACTAAGGAACCGCCAAGATACCAAAATTATTAAGGCCCCGATGGTAAACGGTTTTTGGCGGGCTTGAGGGTCTTTGGGCTTCAGGTTTAATATAGGCCGCAGGGTTTGCCCTAACCTTCCAGGTACCTACTATATGGGGCCCTATGGGCCTCTAGTACCCGATATAGGAGGTACGTGGGGGGTTTGGGTTAGGGTTAGGGTTTAGGGTTGAGGGTTTAGGAATTTAGGGCCCTTCTAGCTCAAGCTGCGTAAGTTGTCACCGAGCAGCCCATAGGCGGCTCTTTACAGCAGTGTTGAGCAGCGCGTTGCACCTCTGCACAAGTGGCAAGAGGCTTCAGACAATCCCATAAGCCGCCCACTCTGCCCTCCTCAAGGCCTCCGATCAGGTATTTTATGGGCAGTTCTCTAAACGAGGGTCCCCATTAAAGGTCCCCAAAATAGTACGGTTCCCCTTTCTCTGGACCCTACAAGGGACCCTGATTTAGAGAACTACCCATGTACAGCCTGAACTCAACCTTCAACCGTGACTAAGCCAACACTGAACCCCGGATCCCTTGCAGAATAGAAGCGCATGACGCTCTCACCGTTTGAAGCAGGGATACCAGTCAACATTTGTCTGCGTGAGAAATATCCACCTGTCCAACAACTGACGCAACCTCAACCCACAAGTTTCTACCCTGCAAAGGCCTAAACTAAACCTTGTAAGATGACGGGATTCGCCAATAGAGTCACGAATGCTGCTGGTGTTATCCCAGCTATCCAAGTGAGTTCAACACAAACATTGTGTGCCCACGACACTCAGGTTTTTTTGAGTCTTTCTGTGGGTCGCTGTTTCTGTCGCTGAGGGATGGACAGTTTCTGTCGTTGAGGGATGGACAGATTTCTTGGAGCCATACGCAGGATCTGAGCTCTTAGTACAGTGGTAGACAAGGTGACCAATACCTGCAGGTCCAGGAAGGACGACCGTATAAACATTTAGAGTCGGCGACGACACGTCGTTGTACGTCTTGCAGCCCATATAATGATATCCAAAAGAAAGGGGCCTGAAAGATGAGCATCAGAGGGTCTACATACTTAAGGTTTCGGGCGGCTTAATTCCAAAATAGTAGTGTCTATGGACCCTCTTGTGCAAGGTTCTGCAGAAGCTTGTGTCACCACAACGATTCTCCGCAGGTGAACTTCAAAGGCTAGATCTGTAAAACAGGTGTCGTAATGCCTTTTGAATCGCCTTATGTAGGCATTTACGGTCTCTATAGCGTTCTCATTTCGTAAACCGGGAATCATATGCAGGCCTTGCAATCAGAGCAAGGTTCGGGCATACAGTGGTGTGCTCATGTGCGGGGCCGTGAGGGGTTTAGGGTTTAGGGTTTGGATTAGGGTTGAGGGTTTAGGGTTTTAAGTTTGCTCCTAAATACCGCAACCTCTACAGCATTGCTCGACGACTCAATCTAAGCTTAAGTAGACGACATCTCGGAGCCCCATCGGGAGCCTGATGCAGAACGAGCTTAAGTTAAACCCTAAACGGCCGTATCTCCTAGACCCTGAACCCTAAACGGCTGAAGCCTTACTTCCCAGAGCCCGACAGCTTTAGACGAATGCCTCAGCCGAGTCGTTCGCCAGTCGGAAAGTAGTGCCACTAGTTTCTCCGAACCTGGAGGCCACTTCTCCCTAAGGGTTTAGGGTTTAAGTTCAGGGTTTAGGGTTTAGGGTTTATGTAGTCATAAAGTACATACGTTGGCCTTTAAAGCAATCCCTATATAGGCCCTAAAAAGCCTATAGATGTACTTCTCAGCCAAAGTATGTGCTATGTGGGTTCATGGACCCTTAGGGCTAATATAGGATCCAGATCAGATTGAATAGGGTTTGGGCGAAAGCAATATAGTGTATTGAACGGGGAAAAGGAATACGACTGCCAATTATTCAGGCTCCTATATTGCAGTCTCGACTGGTTGGCCTAGGGCCCGGGTGCATGCAGTGGCCCCAAAGTTTCAAAATTGGACTCCCTTTGGAACATGGACCCTTTCGGGAAAAACAAAGGCATTCCAAGCCCTATAATCATAATCCTTAAGCCCCCTTACCTTGCAACAAAACCCTAAACCCCATAAACCCGACACCCTGAACCCTAAACCCTAAACCCCAAAGCCTGAAGCCCAAACCCTAAACCCTACACCCTAAAGCCTAAACCCATAACCACGGCGCCTGCGTCCCGGGCCATCCTTTGAGAGCTTTTTCAGCTTCGCCATGATCGGGGAGGCGTCCCGGGGCCAGAGCCCCGGAGCGGCGCCAAAAAAAGGCAGAGTCTGAAGGACGAGGTGGGGTTTGGGGTTTAGGGTTTAAGGGTTTAGGGTTTAGGGCTTCATGCCTGGAAGACGGCATGTACCCTCAACGGGTTTAAGGTGCAGTAACCATCGTATAAGGGTATAGGGGCCCTGCGTTTTAAGGGTCATTTGAAGGGGTGTCCGCAAGCCGAGCGGGATCTGTGGGCTGATGGGATCTAGACCTGAGGGCTTCTAGGCTTCTAGGGATTCTTGAGGGCACCTGGCCTTTAGGATGACGCCGGGTCGCGTTTTGTTGGTATGAAGGGTCCTTGATGCGATGCTAGTGAGCGATATTGAGGGTCTGCCAGGGGTGCGAACTAGCTCACTCAAGTTGGCCCGGCCCTGAGACAGTTCAAGCCTCAGGCCTGAACCTTGATTCGTAAATGCCACAGTGTCATGCATATACTATGAAAGGTGGTCGCGCCGAGGAAGATGAGGAGGAGGAGGAGGAGATGAGGGTGCAAACATAGGATTTAATTAAGGCTTTGTGGTTAGTTAGAGCTTTCGTGAATCGAGGCGTCCTGGTCAGTGGCTTAGCTCTACAACTGAGGTTTCTAGGCTTGCGGTTTGGGCAGAAGGCTTCATGCTTGTTTGCTTGGTTGTAATCTGGCGATCCCTCTGTGTTCATAAATCATGCAAGGGCCAGCCTTAACGCCGAACTCTGAACGGTGCCCTGAAGCCTGAACTCCCCACCCTTCAAAACAACGAACCTGAACCCAGTCAAGCTTGAACAAACCTTCCTTTAGCCACTACATCGCTGAAGCCCTACAGCTGCATGTATGACATTGGGACTTTGGCTAAGGGGTCTCGGAATCTGCCTACAGAATTCAGGGCCCTGACCTGCCGTTATGTTTATCTAAACGCTCGTTTGTGCAAGTAGGCTGGTTCGCAGGCGAGCCCAAGAATAGTGCTTGTAGAGTCATAGTAGAGGTCGATGAAGCCGGCATGTATTGGGTTTAGTAAGTGGGGCAACTCCGTCGTATGAGGATAAGTGGAAGCTGCTTATTGGAAAACAGCCCGAAAGACCCCCTATAAAGCGCTATAAGCGGACGTCGGATATGGTGGCCCTTAAGGAAGCACGCTGAACCAATCAGGGTCTATGGTATTATTGATTAATCTTCAACTTGTTCACGTTCACATAGCGAGGCCGTCCTGCAAACTCGGAGTATGAACCCCTTACCCGAACAGAGACAATGATTCTGATGCTACTTGTTAGTACTATTTACTGTCCGAAAACCGTTGGGATCTGTTCTCAGAGGCATGCTCTGCTATGTATATAAGACTACGCAGCTTGATCCTCGTGTGCACAAGCAGTTGGAGGTCCGTGTTGTGTTCCATAGAAGAGCACGGAGCAGGCCACACGGGACTTTTTTGTGGCACGGCATGGCTGCGGAAAAACAAAGGGAAAGGTTTGTAAAGCAATAGCCTCTGCCACATCCTGGGAAACTAAACCTGCAGACTTTCAAAGCCTGAACCCTAAATACCAAGCGACCCAAACCCTACAAGCCCAGTCGCCACTTAAAGCCACAATTCAACATCATCAAACATGTTACAGGCTAGCATACACTTTACATCATATACGGTAACTTATAAACTTGGGTAATTAAGCTCTTAACCCTGTACCGCGATTGTGAGAAAGACCGTTTCGTTGATCATCTGCCAAGCTCCTAAGTCCTATTCCAAGGCAAGGGCAAGGGCTACAACCATCGTCGTCCAGAAAGTGCCTGTTGACGCCTTCGGCGTGCGACAGGGGCTAAATTTCGAGTCCAAGACTGAACTGCATCTAAATCCTGTATGTATGGCCCTATGCATTAGGGTTGTTAGATCCGGGGTTCTGAGGGGAGAGGCTTCAGCCGACCAGCCTGGGACGGGGAAAGCTGGCGCGAGTGGCTCGTGTGAACAAGGCTATGAAGATAGGGTTTAGGGTTTAGGGTTTAGGGTTTGGGGTTTCCAGGCACCTCAGTACTGACTGTCGAGTGCTCTACGATTATAAACACATACAAAGCCCTGTCGTCTACCCATAGGCCCCATAGTAGTTCCTTTCCGGGGCTCATATTTAGAATCCTATAAGGTAATCCCGAAAAGGAACTACTATGGGGCCTATGGGTAGACGCCTCTGCTAATCACATAAAAGGGCCCCTCGCTTTGACGAAGCCCTGAATTTCCGCTCAGGGTCTCGGTGGCTTCCCGGTACTGGCAGGCCTCTCAGGGCGACGAAGCTGTGCTTCGGCTTTAGGGACCTGTCCTCTCATGACATGGGGAGTCTGGGTGTCCCTAAACCCTGAACCCTAAACCCAAACCCTACACC